TAGGGAAAATGGTCCTACACTGTCAATCAGGTCTGCAATGATAGCAGCCAGCCCCAGGTTTGCTCTGAGTGCTTTAGCTCAGATGCTCGGCACCATCCTTGGGACTGGTTTCCTTATGCTTCATATGTTGCCAGACAGTATTTGCTGGATCTTTCTAACACGAGGCTTCTGGAGAGTGAAGAACTGCTACGGAAGTTGAGTATATTCTTGAAATCTCTTGAAACTATTTGCCTGGGTCCCATCCATTCATCTCTTCTGATGCAGTACTGAATCATCTTCAAAAGGGCTCTCCAGTGAAGACTCAGTGGCAGAAACTAAGTCTATCTCAATGCTAACTCTGGAGGATCAGTCTCAGATTTTTCACAGGTGACCTTTCATGGTTAAAGGACTGGCATTGTTCTTTGCCAGCCCCAGTGAGAAAGGAAACAATGGGAAGAAGGCAACTGTCAGAGGCACTTGGGAAGGAAAACAAGCTAGAAAGTGAAAGACATGATGGAAAGCATCCTAAACCATCAACTGCTGAGATCCTGTACGTGTCCCAGTGCATGAGCAGCAAGGGGTGAACGGGAGCGAGCATGTGTGAGAGTCTTTCTCATCACAAGAACCTCCCTTTCATTGTAAAAGACTCACCCCATATTTGTTTTCAGGAGCAGTTCAGCTTGTCAAAGGAGCAGAGCCTGGTTGTCTTAGACACAGAGATGAATGTGTTGTGATAAACTCGTCTTTAGGGTGCAAAAGTCCTCAGAAGGATTCAAACTGATACCCGTTGTCCAGTGGTGCAGTATTTTCCCTTGATCTAGTGTCCTCCGTACTCAAGATACTCCTGAACTCCTCCATCCCCTTCCTATCCCTCAGGATCAGGTCTTCAAATCAGGAAGCCTTTTTTGGCAGCATATTGACCTTGGGGACCCTGGCCAGCTTGTTGCAGTTCACTTGGGTTCTCGTTGGACTCTGTGACTGGGACCAATGACTTATTGGGAGCATCCAGCGCAACAGGCCCCATATGAGGAACTGAGCTGGCTGAAGGAAGGAGAGAGCACCTGGTCCCGGAGCACATGCTTGTCTCCCTGACTCACCCTGGATGGGCTCCCTTCCTGCACCCAGCAGCCCCCAAATCCCCGGGTTTAACCCTCTAGCATGATCACAACTGCGGCCATGATGCCGAGAGCAGCACAGTAAGTTGGCTGCAGTTTTCATGAAGAAGCTGGCGCCAGGGAAAGTGAGGAACGCGTGTACGCCCGAGGTGGGGTGGGGGGCGGCCTGCGTCCCCTCCCCGCCAGCACCGACTGACCGTATTCTGGCTCTGAGGAGTGCTTAGCTCCACCTTCCGCCCTTCCCTCCCCCGGTGCTAAGCAGCAAAGCCAGCTAGAGACATCCAGCCAGGGTATTAGTAAAAACCAAGCCTCCCTCTAGGAATGGCACTCGCCTGAGAGCTTCCCCGCGCAGAGCTCCTGTAAGCCGCCAGGGCTCAGAGGAGAGAACAGAGGGGCTATTGGGATACAAATTACAGCCCTCGCAGGATTTGCCAGGCACACCAGCCAGCAACGTAAGTTTTCCTACCTGAGCTCACTCGCACGCACGCACACCCATTCACTCACTCACTCACTCACTCTTTTTCTCCTACTTTCTGTTACTTTTTCAATTTCTTCAGCAAGGATCCTTGTCTTCCTCTATAAGTGGAGGGGTAATAGCCCTCCTTGCTCCATGTTAGCAATTTTTCAGCAAAACCAGAAGCATGCTTTTCTATGACTTTTTTTTCTTTCTTTCTTCTTCTTTTTTATTTCTGGATGGGGGGATAGAGAGGTCTTTATTCTCAGAGTGTGTCTTTCCTGAAGTGGGGAACTGCTGCGTCGCGGCAGGGACTTTTAGAGGTGACTGCAAACAGAGTGAGAGAGGAATGAGTATATGGGGCAGGCAACTCAAATCCTTGGCTTTTCTCAAAGGAAGTTAAACTTTGTGTGTATGTATGTGTGTGTGTGTATATATATATATATTATATATGTATGTGTGTGTGCGTGTATATATATATACACGCACACACACACACGCGCACACACACATGCACGCATACACATACATGCCTGTGGTGGGGGGATGTAATGTGGATGTATTTTAAGTGTTTGGTTCATGAGCTGCAAGAGGTGGGTGAGGGATGGGAGTCTCTGCAAGGGCACTTTGCTCCAGCTGGGCTCGGGGTTGCTGTATGCCGATTCATGGCACACACTGGCTTCCCTGCCTCGCAGTGCCTCCTGCTCAGCTTCCCCTGTGGCTGGAGATAGATTTGTTCTGATTTATCAATAGGGCTGCTGGTGCTCCCTCTCCCACGACTGCCCTGCACACTGTGCTAGCATTTCAAGGCAAGTCTTAAAAAGAAAGGGTCATTTCCTGACACAAGTTTTGCAGCCGTTCCCTCCATCCTGCTTCCCATCTATGCCTCTCTCCTTTCAGGTCCCGAAACCGTCTTATTCCTTCTGTTTTCAGCATACTCGGGCAGCTGCCACAGGCCTCTCTATACATGTTAGGTTTGGACTATTGCAGAGATAGGGAGCTTCCAATTAATCAGTGGCCCTGACCCATCCCCACCCCCATTGATCACGGGTTTTGTACTGTGAATGGCAGTTGCTTTGCTTGCACTTCTATCAAGTGGCCCCTGTCTCATGGTCAGCTCTTTGGAGAGTTTGGAGTCCCTTCTAGATTTGGTTTTTGCTCTTCCATTTCTCTTTTTTTTTCTTCTTTCCTTTCTTTCCTTTGTTTTTGTCTTCCTCCCTCCTCTGCCCAGTGAGAAGAAGGATATTGAGAAGGAAGAGAGACAGGGCTCAAGAGCAATAATGGCTGATGACCAAGACCTTTCAGAGGTGGAAATGAGCCCGGTAGGCTCTGAAGACCACCACTGTCTGTCGCCGGGACCCTCCATGGCATCAGACAACTCTCCTCACCTTGCTGGCTCTGGAAATGGAGAAATGGGCAAGGTCAAGAAGGAACAACAAGACTCAGAGGCGGATGATGACAAATTCCCTGTGTGCATCCGGGAGGCGGTCAGCCAGGTGCTGAGCGGCTATGACTGGACCCTGGTACCCATGCCCGTTCGGGTCAATGGAAGTAACAAGAGCAAACCCCATGTCAAGCGGCCCATGAACGCCTTCATGGTATGGGCACAAGCTGCCCGGAGGAAATTGGCTGACCAGTACCCGCACCTCCACAACGCAGAGCTCAGTAAGACCTTGGGGAAGCTGTGGAGGTAAGAGCAGGCAGGGAGATGGGGAACGCGAGGCTGAGGTGTTGCAGAGAGGACTGTGTAGTCACATGGAAGGATGGAGATTTAATGGGATTAAGGGGGTGTCCCTTGAAGAGATTTTCTTACCTGCAGGGAGACCCCTTGCAGGAGGCACTTCAGTGATTGGGGGGTGGGGCGAGAACGGTTGTTGGATATGATGAAAGCTTCCTCAGCAGAGCTCACCTCCATCCCACACAACAGCCCTTACCTTGCTCTTTTCCCCCTCTAACTTTCCCTTTTGTCCGTCCTTCCTGACCCAGTATACTCTAGTCCTGGTCCTTGCCCGGAAATAACTGTCTGGCTGTCAGGGGAGATCTGATTTTCTTAGCTCGCCTTTGTTGGGTGAAGTTGCTCACTAATGGAAACTGGGCTGAGCCCCATCAAACTTAAGTTACTTGAAAGCCCCATCAAACTTAAGTTACCTGAAATTGCCTCAAGCCTGTTTGAACTCAAGTCCCAGCACTAACAGAGATTATGTTCTGCACAGTGCCATAGAGCAAGGGGGAAATGAAGTTATGGCAGAGGAGAAAGGTCAGGGGAAGGGAACAATGGTTGGAAGCATGCACACGTCCTTCCCACTGTCCGGCCGCAGACCTGGCTGGCTGGTAATCCCAGCTTTGGCAGCCATGCAGGGGCAGCAAGTGGGGACATCTGGGCAAGGAGAGACCCTGCTAGAAAGGGAGGCTTAAACCTGCCATAAAGGAAGAGAGGGAAGAAAGATACGAAAGAGAGAAAGCAGTCTCTCTCTGGGTATATATCTGGGACATGGACTGTGGTCCTTTACGGCTGAGCAGCGTTATCAGTAGCACCAATTGTCTGTAGGCCTACAGCACTCAACAAACCTGCAATAGTCCCAGCCTTAGCGGGCTCTCTTGTGACACGTTGGCTCACACTGGCCCCGATCTCCCTTTGCCTCTGGAGAGACATCCTTGCCTTCTTGCCAGCGCACACACGCGCTCTTCCCCCTGGTCCCACCATCTTTTTAGCACCTGTTTCGATTTTATCTTTGTGCAGCTCTTCATGTCCTTTCCATACCCTCCCTCTCCAACCCACTCCTCCTTTCTCTGGAGGAGTCAGTGCTGGAAGGACTGATGGGCTACCCAGAGAGATTGCAGGAGGCCTGCAGGTCTACATGGGTGCATGCATGCACAGAGAGCTGTCACACCTGAGCAATGAACACGGGGTGGCCACTCCACTTCTTTCCTGTCTGATGGGCTCCACAAATAACCCAACAACCAGCTATAAACACTTTCTGCTGCAAGGCCAGGGTTACCGAGCACCCTCACCCCCTTTGCTTTGCACCAACCAACACAAGTCAAATCCATCAGTCTCATGTGAACAGGCCCTCTCATTCAGCCCCAATGGCACTTCTCCAGCCCCAATGGCACTTCTCAGGAGGGAGCCCTCAAGCCTGGACGGGGCAAGAGATATTTCTTCTAAGAAGATGCAAAATGCACCCTGTTCAGCAATCAATGCGCAGGTCTCCTCCTGACTTCAAACCTCTTTGCCCACGAGGGAGAAACAGGCCCTTGGGCATTAGTTTCTCCCTCTATTGTGTCCGCCTATTTACCCCAAGCCGTCAGGGTTTAGTGCAGCTCAAGCAAGGGATTTCTTTGGAAAGTTGAAGGCAGAGAATAATAACAGTCCTCTGTGCTAATGGCCTTTCCTGCCTTCCTGTTTCATTCTCTGCTGCCTTCCCTTTGCTTTATCACAGCAGTTATTCCAACCTCAGGCTCTGCTATCAGTCCCCGGACCACAGGCGAAACGATGATCCTTAGTTCTCATCCTACTGATCAGCGTTTTACCTCCATCTTGCTTGTGGTAAAACAAGAGCTGGTTTGCTCTGGCTTTCCCAGTACTTGTTGCCCCCACCTGGTAGAGCCATCACCTCCCAGTGTCACCTTACCATCCTCTTCCATTTGTGTCTTTATTAACCATCATCTCCTTTAAATTTTGCCCCTTGCTCCTCCACTTCCCAGCTCCCCCTGGTTCCCCTTTCCCACGTCTCCATGTCTCAATCTGTGGCAGAAGGGTGTGTGTTGTGGGGGAGGAATCCCATCTTTCTGTTCCCAAAGTATTATTTTAAGGTATTGTTCCTTTGTTGCAAAATATTTCTAGATTTTATGGCACTGGCTGCCCTTCAAACATTGCATTTCCTGTAAAAATATAGCAGAGCAGTATAATTCTCTACAGCTATTACAGTAATGGCGCACAGAGACACAACACTCTGCCCGTGGCGACATTCGAATACCCGACTAGCTCCCTATTCCCATGACATGTCTCCCATGGCAATGCGAATTCACCCCCAGCCTAACGAGACTGAAAGCAGTAATTCATAGTAGGAGGACGCTCCTGCCAGTAGGCAGCAGAGGTCCCGCAAAGACCCCCCAGCATTTCTTAGGGCGTTGTGCGGCCAGAAAGTGCGTGTCATGCGGAGAAGCTTTTAGGATCAGATCTGGGGTTGTGACTATTGCATGCTGCTGGGTTTTTAACCCAGCTGCTTTTCTTGAACATGTCACCATTCGGAGTCACCGTTGTTAGTGCACATTGCGGCTTTCAGTGCTGCGTTGGCCTGTATGGGACAGCATGGCTGAATATGCTGGGGTTAGGGTGCAGGGGCTGGGTTGCCATCCGACTTGCGTAGGACTGCGTGCAAGTGCCTTTCTGTGAGCGCAGGGGGAAAAACTGAACCCCCCAAAAGGCCAGGGGAGGTGGCCTGAAGGCTACTAGGATTGTAGCCCTGAGTCAACCTAACACAGCCTGCAGCCAAGTCGCTGCTAGGTCTTCTTCCTTTGGGTTCCCGCTGCCCCTTGTCCTACGTGCTGTTTTGTCTATGCTGTCCCCAGGTTATAGCTCGTATGTGTTGGCACAAACTGAGAGCAGTCAGGTCGAGCTCTAGACAGCTTAGTCTCAGATGTTTGATCAAGGTGCCTACAAAGGGCTCTGGCAGTTCACACATCGCCACCCTTCTAAGGTGGTCACACAAACCTCACAGTCCAAATGGCTAGTCGCTTCGGGAAGTGTGGGCTGTCTAGATTATATTTTCATGTAGGCTGGGTAAAGAGTGCATTAGCAATATCTGAGGCAGAGAAACGGGAATTGGAGCTGGTGATCACGGACACTGCCTGGAAACAACCCTTAAACCAAGCATGTGTCCAGCACTTGGTGCTGGGTGGGGATGGCAGAGGCTGGAAAGGGGACTGAAAAAATCTTCTTGAAAGGCATCTAGTAGACTGAGCCATAACGCAGTGCTGTCCCACACGCTGCTGTGCAAACTGAACTCAAGCGCCACAGGCAGCTGGGAGTGGGCGACTGCTGTGTGCAGACCTGAAGCAGTGTTTGCTCATGGGGTTCGCGGGCTCCAGCCCCGCGCCGCAAAAAGCGCTGGGGAGCTGCAGCATATGAAAGGTGCCATTCTGCAGGAGACAGAAGGCAGCAAACAGGGAGCTGGAGGGAGCCACTGCAGCAGACGGCGCTGCCACATTGCATCAGTGTTATGTAGACAAATGTCCCCTGGGGTGGTTGCGGGGGGGGAAGCAGCTAGGAGAGGAGGGGGATTTCGCTTCAAGCCTCTCTCCTCATCCTCTCCCCACTTCACACACGCTCCCACGCTGGACTCAGAGCAGGTTTGGGAGAAAAGAGCTGCCAGGAGCTGGGAGATTAAGGGCGAGGGGGCTGTCTCCAACCCCTGGCAAAGCAAGGAGCACACAGTCATGGCAGCAAGCATCACTGTGGTGCATTAGGGAAGGTGAAAGGTTTGCCAGATGCATGGTCGAGACAGCTGGCAGCCCCTCCGGCTCCACGCCACTGCCACATTCTCCATGGGCCCAAGTGCTAGATGGGAAGGGCTGTGAGACATATCCTGATGGTCATGGTACCTGCCTGGTCCCAAGTGTTAGACCAGTGGTGCTGGGAGGCCTCACGGTCCTGTCTGCTTCCCCCAATTTGTACCCACTTTGTGCATGAGGCGAACATTCAAGGAGCTGACCAAACTGAAATGGGGGTGGACGATGAGGGAAAAGGGAGGAGAAGAGGAAGAAGGAGAATGGAGGGCTTCTGTGCTTGATGGTCACTAAAGCCCGCCTTGGCCACTTGCCTTCCCCAGGATGGGACAGGGAGCAGTTCTCAAATGGAGGCCGGCTGCTGAAAATGTCGGCATGACTTGAAGCCAAAATGCCAACCAGCACATCTCCGGGGCTGAAAACAAAGGGGACATGGGAAGAAGGGGGCAGCGACGAGCCAAAGTCAGCATTGGGAGGGGCGAGGGGACCCGATGAAGGGATCTTTGTATCTGGGTGGCAGCACACGCTGTCGTTTCCTGCACCCCACCTCACCTAGGCAAAGTGCCCAGGGAATAGGGTCATGCCCGCAAAATCAGGGGCTGTGGACGTGCCGGAGAGCCCGCCCGGCTGTTTTTCCTCCTAGCCAGCCCTCGCCTTGCGTCAGCCATGCCGGGAGATGACCAACCCCTGCACTGCCGCACTGACTCATCGGCAGCTGAGGCCCAGGGAAGGGCCAGGCCTTGGGCTGCCATACCAGCTGCCTGGCACGCAAAGCGGTAGCCTCCCAGTGCAGCGCTGGGCCGTAAGAGGAGCTGAAAGAGGCAGATGAAAAGATTTTAGTCCTTCTTTCTCCTCCCAAAGCAAGGTGCCCGCAGGTTCCCCCTTTCTCCTCGGCTCAGGGTTGAGCTTTCGGTGCTGGGCAGGGTGGAGAGGGCTCGGTTAAGCCCTGTCAGAGCTTTGCTCTGTGAGCTATAACTGCTCTGCCCGTGCGAGATTCCTTCGCATTAGCAACTGGGGAGCGTCAGGGGCAGGAGGGGGAGGGCAGGAAACAAGTGAAATCTAAATCCCCCAAATCTCCTGGCCTTTGCCTGCTCACACCAGTTTCACTTTGCTAAAGCCGATTTGAGCTCTGATCCCAGCGGGAGGGAGGAGGGAGCAGGGAGACTCGGAAGGGAGAAGACAAAGACGCGGGGAGTGGACTTTCTGCTATTCTACTGGGGGCACTGCTAATGGGCTGCTGTTGAGGGGAGAGGAGGTGAGGACACCAGGCAGAGATCAGAGGGCACAGGATTTGAGTCTTGGATAGCCTCAAGTGACTCTGGTTCAGGTCATCCACGAGACAGGAAGGCTGAGCTTTGGTCTCCTCTGCTGGCCACAATGGGAGCTCTGCTCTGTGCTCTCTGCCTGGTGCCTCCCACAGATCAAAGCTGGCTGTGCACTGTACAGGCCTCTCACTCCAAGAAACTAAGAGGTTTCTAAGGTGGCATCTTGTTAGCTCTGGCACCATCTGGGTTGGGAGTGTAGACAAGCCCAGGCCTGGCTGCTTTGTAGAGAAGTGTCCTGCATTGCAAGGCTGCAGAGTTTGTCTCTGTTCTCCGGTTTCTCCTCAAGAGAAACCTTTCATCATCTCCCGTGGAGATTAGGTATTCTGCAAGGGTGAAGGTGGTGCTGAGGCAAGGCTACCTCCTGGTCTGTGATGGCTCCAGGAGCTACAAGACTCTGAGAGTTTGATGAGCTCTCTCCTCAGACCCATTGGAAAGCTGTTTGGAGCAGTGCAGGGTGAGGGATTAGAGCCCTCTGAGATGTGTGAGCATGGTGTATGGTGGCGGGAGGGAGACAGGAAAGCCGGTGTTGGATTCATGGTGGCTCAGTTGCTCTAATCTCTGGGATTAAGGCAGTGGTGGAATGCAGTCTGCGGCCATGACCTTCTTGGGCTGCCTGGAGTGACCCTGGGTCAGCACCGTAATGGGCTCCAGACCTTGCCACACGCCTTCTGGCTGCTGGTCAGGAGGATGAGGAAGGAGAATTGAGGAAGCGGGTGCTTTAGAAACCCATCAATTGCTTGCTAGTGATCCCTTGGATTCTCCTCAGCACTTTTATCTACATGTTCCTTGAGCCATACCTCTTGTCCCTCTTCAGTTGTTCATTCTTGGCCTGTCTTCCACACTGCCTGCAGTTTAGCCTAACTGGTCAAATTAGTGCTAAGAGTTTCAGGAGTATCACAGGTGCTACATAGCCTGGCTGAGATTGATTCGCCCCATCTCCAGGCATTTCTTTTGTGGAGGGAAAAAAGGGACAGACATCTTATTAATGGAAAATATTTTGCTGTTTGGGTGCCCTGTCATTTCTAACCACTGTTTGGGTTACAAATCGCAAGAAAAGACTGGTCTCCTCAGAGCACTGATTTCTGGTTGAAACCAAGATGACCTTGAGTCACGAGAATATTTGAAAAAAATCATAATATGAAACCGCAGTGCTTCCAGCTGAGAAGCTGTTAAAGGCCTGAGCAATGCGGTCTGAACTCTTCTTCAAGCATTCTGAGCAGTTCTGCCTGAACATTTCATAATTTCCTTGGAGATCCTATCTTAACTAGAGCAGCCCATAATCTGGCAGGAATACAGAGAAGGAGCTTACATTTCTATAGTGCCTTTCATCCAGAGATCAAAGCTCATCTATTTCTACAAGGCCCAGCAACATAACAGCACAGTTTTTTATAGCTAGTAGGCTATGTTCAAGTAGGGTTGGACATTTATGTTTCAGCCTTTCACATTACCCACATCTAGGGTGAGCAGGAGCCCCACGAGTAGCAAAATACACTCTCCATTTTTCACCATCTAAATTCTTCTTTAATTCCTTCCTAGGATATTGCAAGATGCTTAAAATGCCAGCAGGCTCCATGCAGCAGCATGGGCACTGTGGAGCCAACACAAAACACTGCTATTTGTGCTCAATAGAACCTCAGACTCAGAGCAGAGCCTCTGAAAGCGTGGAAGGTTAAACTGGAATAAATATATAACCTGGGAAAGAGTAAGAGACATATAGGAGACAGTGCCACGGGTGGCAAGGGTGTGCGACACTTCTTTAGTTTGAGGGATGATCCCATCTTTCCTTAATTTGCCCAGTCTTTGAAAGCAGCTTGCCCAGCCTTATTTTACACCACTATGAAAGGCTGTGCTTGCCTTAGGGGGGTGAAACTACATGTATGAGAGCATTGAACTTACTGAGGTAAGAACTGTAATGCAGCTGGGAAGGAGGACCCAGTGCTGGCACTGACCAGTGTCAAGGCTTAATAATTAACAACGAGGAGGAAAACATTGCTGTCTCCATTGAAATACTTTCAAGCTCTCCCTATTGTTCTGAGGAACCTCCTAAATGGGGCAATGCCTTGATGCCTGCATTTATATGCCATGTCCCATGATGCGGTGTATAGGTTCTTTTTCTGGCATACCTGCCCCTCTCCTTCCCTTCTTCTCTTCCTTCCCACCTTGGCCTCTGCAGGTTGTTGAATGAAAGTGACAAGCGGCCCTTCATTGAAGAGGCAGAGCGGCTGAGGATGCAGCACAAAAAAGACCATCCTGACTACAAATATCAGCCACGCCGGCGGAAAAATGGCAAGGCCACACAAGGCGAGGGTGAAGGCCAAGTAGATGGGGAAACTGGTGGGGCTGCCGCTATCCAGGCCCACTACAAGAGCACCCATCTGGATCACAGACATCCTGGGGAAGGGTCACCCATGTCTGATGGGCACCCAGAACACTCCTCAGGTGAGTCCCAGGTCTCCATAAATGTATGGACAGGTTACAGCCAACTCAAAGAACCCAAGTCATCACCTTAGTGATGTGGCTCACACCTTGCTCATGACTCAACAAACTGTTGGAATCACCAGTTTGGGGCATGCCTGAGTTTCACAGGCATTTGCATTCCTTCAGTCAGTTGGCAAATCATTCTATCCTCCTTCTTCTTCCAGAAGATGATATAAAAAGGTTTGGCCAGTTTGGTTTTGGCTATTTCTCTCTCCCTCCACTGAAGTCTCCAGCTGGGTGGGTGCTGGTGTATTGGGAGGAGTGGAGCTGGCCAGGTATAAAGCAGTAACTCACCTCTTCTCATCTCTTCTCTCTCTTTCCTCCTCAAAATGTTTTTGACATTGCAGGTCAGAGCCACGGGCCCCCCACACCTCCTACCACCCCTAAGACTGAGCTGCAGGCAGGCAAAGCCGACTCCAAACGAGAAGGGCGTTCTCTGGGGGAAGGGGGAAAGCCACACATTGACTTTGGCAATGTGGACATCGGGGAGATCAGCCATGAAGTGATGTCCAACATGGAGACCTTTGATGTCAATGAATTTGACCAATACCTGCCGCCCAATGGACATGCTGGCCATCCAGGCCATGTTGGGGGCTACGCAGCAGCTGCGGCTGCTGGCTACGGCCTAGGGAGTGCCCTGGCTGCAGCCAGCGGACACTCTGCCTGGATCTCCAAGCAACATGGAGTCTCCTTGTCCACTGCCACGTCATCGGTGGTGGACTCCAAAGCGCAGGTGAAAACAGAAGGGTCTGCCCCTGGAGGTCATTACACTGACCAGCCCTCCACCTCCCAGATAGCTTACACGTCCCTGAGTCTGCCTCACTACGGTTCAGCCTTCCCCTCCATCTCCAGGCCCCAGTTTGACTACCCTGACCACCAACCCTCAGGACCCTACTACAGCCATTCCAGCCAAGCCTCTGGCCTCTATTCTGCCTTCTCCTATATGGGACCTTCCCAACGTCCCCTTTACACTGCCATCTCTGACCCTACACCCTCCGTGCCACAATCCCATAGCCCCACACATTGGGAACAGCCTGTGTATACGACTCTCTCCAGACCATAGGGAACGGGGAACAGTGACCAAAACAGCGACAGAAAGGCTCTGAAGAATCAGCACAGGCAGAAGAGCCTCCGAACTCTGAGGTCATTCAGTGTCATCCAGCCACCAGAACCCACTGAGTATCTGGAATTGCCTTTCTTGACCCCAGCTATCGCTGGCTCACCCGCCTACAGGAAGGTTTTTCGTCCTTTTGCCCTTACCAATTTCACGCAGGCCATCCGACTGGCTTGCAACACTTTATTGGCCTTCTAGATGAGGAGGATTCTAGACATGGAGTGACTGGTCTGTGGTGGGTTTCATTGTGTGCACCCTGGACTGTAAGATAAGACAGACTCTCCTTTTCTTCCCCTCCCCAGACTGCTCCAGTGAGTTAGCAAATGTTTCCAATAGGCCACAATGGTCAACTCTTTGTCACCTGCTGTGGGTGAAGGGTGGTTGCTTAGGCACCTTGGTGAACATGTTACGGCAGGAGTAGTAGGGAGGACGCACAGCCGGCTTCCTTGAGATCAGTGTTGTGCAGCAGTCCTGCCTAAGATTCACACATGCAGGAATCTTGATCCCCGTTGGAAGACCAACTTATGCTTGCTTCCCCGCTCATTTCCACAGCTGCACCCTAGCTTTTCTCC